GAGAGAGAGAGAGAGAGAGAGAGAGAGAGAGAGAGAGAGAGAGAGAGAGAGAGAGAGAGAGAGAGAGAGACTCTACCTAGAATATTGTATTACTTCGTCACGTGAACTCAGCCTGACCCCCGTGCGAAGAATGCGCGATGAAGGCGAGGTGGAAATTCAATTCCGATAAATATCAGATGCGCACGAAACGTCGTATCGTATAGCGATGCAACTTTTATCTTTTTTTTTCCCGCTTTTTTTTTCAACGCCGCGTCGAAACTTTTAACTGTGAATGAACACCCGACCGCGCTTTTTTCCGCTGCAACGCCCGACCACGGTGGTAACGAAGAGATGAAGTTACGAATATATCCCCCAAATAGATCGCACTGTACGTTCTGCAGTTTGACATCCGTTACATCGTTACAATTTGCGAATATGTGTACGCGCACACGAATTCATTTACTTTTCTTTTTATATTCAACTAAACATTGATTGCTGACTAATTCAAGAGCGACCGCGATGATGCGTGTTTTTTTTCCTTTAATCGCTTCTTATCATGTGATACATATCCAGCAGCTCGGAGCGTAATGTGTCTTTGATCGCCGTTGTCTTATGGGAATGTAAGACAAACGAGAGTTAAACGCCAAGCCAATTAGACAGTAGTGAACATAGCCATGTACAAACAGTAAACAGCGCATAACCTAATGGATTGGCTTATTGATTAGGCTTGTCACCTTGAGTGTTAGCAGCTTGATGCGTCCTCGGTACTTTGTCTTACTCGAGAGTACAACCGGAATAATGAAGATGGCATACGTGTGGTAAATGCGATAAATTTCGCAAACAATCGCTAAAATTTTTCCCACAGTAATCTGTATATTTTTTATATCAATCTGTGTGTTATGAAAATCCATTTGTACTTTCCAAAATAAACTTTAAACTAAACGCGATATTTTTCAATTCGCACAAATTCAACATACAGTTACTTAAATAAAATTGAATAGTATGAATGGAAAAATAAATTCGAATTCATTTTTCCTTTCACGTTATTTAATTTTATTTTAACACAAGTGCACGTATATTATTTTATTAGGTATTATATTTTGCAAAAATATAATTCAAAAATACAATAACGAAAAAAGACGTGATATCCCTTAACTGAATTTGCAAATTTGGAATCTGCGAATATGATGGATTACGTCCAACGCTCGCCAAAGTAATACTCATTCTGGGATATTAGCGGTCTCTCGGTCGTGAAGGCAGAGTAGCATCGTCGAGAACGACGTCGTCGTTGAGAATGTGTAAGTGGTACGGGGGTGACGGAAACGACAGGGGTGGAAAGAGATCCAGGATACGTAGATAACTGTATGAGGGTAGGTCGCGCGAGCACGCCTCCCTCGTTCGCCAGCATAAATTAGCATAACTCAGAATCGTGTTCAGTTAAAGTGCCTTCCATGCGCAACCTTTATTCCTGCATTGGCCCATATGATGGCTCGCGCACGCTGCCATGACTCACCACAATACGCTTTATAGGCCCATGTAAAATGGCCCGCGTTACCTGCGCGCGCCAGGTAATTCCCGGGCCGGCAGAAATTTTATAACTGATCTCACTGCCTAATTACTCGTTACGGAATTTTAATGCGCAGTGTAGAACTTGTTTCACGGAGGAAGATCGATATCGTGGAATTATCGCGCGTTTATTTATATGCGACGGTGAGACGACGACGAGATACAAACGAGAGTCGACGGTTTTTATCCAAATAATAAAAATTACAGATTAATCGTAATATTTTACATATAATTCTCTGGAGCCTTGAATTATTTTAAATCCATTATTTTCAGATGAAATATCGGGCCGTTTTATTCACGTCGATATTCGAAACGAATTCGGTTACATGAAACACATGATACAAAGCAGTCAGGGGAATCATGCAAACCGGCGCAAAGGGATATTATTGATTTTTCAATTTCCAAATTAATTTTCGTAATAATGAAGCCTTGTTTGAACAGAGATTATTCCACGATTTGGATTTATTTCCGCACAAAGAACCGCTCTATATTCCAGTCTGCGTATCGCTCTGTTCTATAATTAATAAATATATCTTTGTTATTTAATTAAAGAGTATACATAGTACGTTTTAACAAAAGATGCACACGCAAAATACAAGTAGTAAACTTCACTGAGACGCACACCATTCGCAGATCTTTATCGAACGCTTACGCCATGCCGGTAAAGGGGTACTTAGTACAACGCCGTCTAAATTAATTCGCGACAATAAAGACGATGAGCGTCAGCGCCACAAGAGCTCGCATTTCTTAAGTATGAACATCGACGACGGTGAAGCACGCCGAAGATTTAATAGCACCTCGTAAACTCCGTTTAGGGGTTACACTATAGTGTCGTAATACGTGATCGGTCCGCGCGACCCCAAGAGATGGATCCATGTTGAAAATACAAATTTCACCTCCCGTACCTCCCATCGACGGAATTTATCCCGCCTTACTTGAGATTCCTTGGAAAATTCGTCTCATTCTCTATCGCGCGCCTATTCTGTTACGAGACAGCTTCCCTTAAAAAGTTTCGCAACATTCCTAAAAGTTCAGAGAATCTCGTTCGAAAAAGTCTAATAAAAACGACGCATTTTTTAAACATGTACAGAAGTGACTTAGGCTCGTATAATAGTCGTTACTTGAAACTTGTCCTACGTGAAATACTCAAATCTGAATTTAGAATTAGATGAGTTTTTTATTTGAATTATATTTATTCTTATATTGTATAATATATTTATTTTTATATTATATGATATATGTGATATTATATGTGTGTACAATTCAGATGAAAAACTCACGTCTAACTATAAATTATAATCTGAATGTCTCATTTAGTCTTTTACTTTATTAATTATCGTAGCAAGATCTATAAAAAAGGTATAAGACTTTCTTTATTCAATTTAAATTTTACCTGAACACGAACACTTAAATCCAGACATATTTAATAAATATATTTAATATTTAATAAATACGAAAAATATATAAAAAAAATTTATTTTGTTAATATTTCCCCCACCACTTCTTATTATAATTATTAAAATAATTTCTGTAAAGTTCTCTTCAAACCTTTTACTTAAAATATTTTTTTCTATCTCTTATAGTTTTCATTATATTCCCTTTGAATGAAAAAAAATTTCTTCAAAGGGGTATTTCACTCCCTAAACTTGCGAAACGACACATAATAAAAAACATCTGTTATTTTGATCTAAAGTACAACATATTATAAGTTCATGAAAATCGGAGGCGAACACTTGTGTGGGTTTCTTTGTTAGTTGTATTAATTTGTAAAGTTTCTTAGTTGTATTAACTATTACATAACATAATTTTCTAACAATATTATCACGAAACCACTTTAAAGTCGCGGCATTGATCAGAAATCACATGTCGGCTCACTCTTTAGTGCAGCGCTGAAACTTGTTCTCTCTTTGACGCATTCGCGATATACAAATAGCAAAATAATCAGAGAAATTATATATCACTCTTTGTAATCTCTGTAATATCTCTGTTAATCTTTGCAATATTTACTTCATAATTAATTAAAACATATAAACTAATAAGCGCATGAGAAACAGTAAGAGACGGACTCTATAAAAATGTCTAATAAAATATGGTTTTCAATGTGTAAGAAAAATGATTTACTTTTGACGATTTCTTACGAATGACGAGTAACAGCTGATTTCGAGAGGCGGAATGTGACATACGAGCAGCGTATGACATACGGTATGACATGCGCTAAAATCAGTTGTTACTTCTCATTGCTAATTGTCAGAAATCGTCAGAAGTAAGCTATTTCTCTTACACATTTACAGCCATCTTTCATTAAACATCTCTACAGAGTCCGTCTTACCGCACTTCTCGTACGCTCATTGGCTCATTGGTTTCAGTAGAGTAAATATTACAAAATAGTACATGACTTTTCTGATTATTATTACCTATTCTACCTGTACACCATGACTGCGCCACGAGTTGCCGGGTATTCTGAATATATATACACAGGGTGTCTGACGCAAGACCTACAAAATCACATGTGAAGGAGATCTAGCATCTATAGGACATCTCTGACATTTTGCAAATATTTATGTGAATTTTGAGATATTAAAAAAGGAAGATTAGTGGATTAAAATGCGCGCAACGTTGTAGGATGAGCTTTGTTAACGCGAAATTTCATCGAAAATGGCTGAAATGCGATTATTTCTTAATGGCACACGAACGACACGTTCGCGATACGTCGAAGAACAATTATCTCCGCATCGCTTACATTATTATCCCTCCTTGTTAATCGATAACCATAGTCATTAAGAGGTGTAGTCGCGTCTCAACCATATTTTCGATAAACTCGCGTCTACAGAACACGTCCCACAGCGCCGCGCGTATTGATTCGCGTATTGATTCGCTAATCTTCTTTCATTAATATCTCGAAATTTTGCGTGGTTGTTTGAAAAGTGATAGAGGTATTTTTTGTTCAGTTTGATTTAATCCACTTGCATACGTGCGTTGTCGTGTTTTTAGCGTCAGACACCCTACAGAGCTCGTCCCATAACATCGCGTGCTTTGGTTCGTCAGTCTTTTTTCATTAATATCTCGAAATTTTATGTGACTGTTTACAAAGTGTCAGTTGCAACAAATCTGCACGGTTAGGTGCAGATTCAGTTACAACAAATCTTAAATAATAAATAAAAAGACAAACCGATTATGCAATTTTTGTGGTCGTCGATATTACCATTGCAATTTAACGAAATCAATGACGAGTTAGTTAATTGTCGGCAAGATTGCCAGTCAATGGCTAGCTCGCGCCGTATTTTCGGATATGCCCAGAATTCTACGCAATACTCATTCATGCGAATCGTATATCATTCTGTTGATCTTTTGGAACTGGCGCTGTTTTATCCCGTGCTTTGGTCCCCGTAGTTTGTCTTGCTGCATAACAATTTGGGGGAGCATGTTATTTGTTTTCTGCGACCATAAAGGGAAATTCTCCATGTCGAGTGTATCCACGGTAACGATCGTTAAACTTGCTTAAGACACGGACTGCTGTAAACATCGGTGTCCGACTACAGCCAGGCGATAAAAAACGAAGGATATCGGTCGTTAAGAATTAACGATGCGGACACGGAGCAAGGGATCCCTCGCTAATTCCGCCGGATTATAGAAGAGTGACGATCGTGTCTTCTTAGCACGTGAAAAATCCTTTTTTTCTCTCTTCTTCTTTTCTCTCTCTCTTTTTTTTAACTGACACCGAGCACTGGTATCCACACTAGATGATGGCACACGTGCTCGCAGATAGCCCGCGACCGCGCGCCTCGTCAGGATTTACTCTTTCCCGGCACATACGTTCAACACGCTTCTAAGTTCCGCGAATGCAGCAATCAAGGATAAGTCAATACGATACAATACGCTTTAATTATCGCCAGGGGTTCACAGCCGAAGCCTTATTCTTTCATTGATCCAGTTACGTGGTAAGTTGAGGGTGTACGCGATTCTATAAATGGATAAATATAGATGGCAGACGGTCCGCGCAACAATTCCCCGAACGCCAGAAGTGCGGACATTGTCGTTAATACAATAATAACAGAGCCGGCCGGGCCACCGCACCACCTCGTTCGTCTGAAAATCCTGCGGGGCTTCCACGCACGACCGAATGTACATGGTGCGTTAAGAGGATTCCGACCCTCTTTGACCACTACCCACTCGTCTATACGTCAGATCGTTATAGAGTCACTCTTCCCCTCTCTCCTGTCCCCGCGTCGACCTCCCGATGGGAATATCGTTGATTGCCTTCAACGGTTGATATCAAAGCAACATCGATCTGTTCGCGTGGAGTTTACCAGCGAACTCATTTCGAGAATGTTCTATGATATACATTCGCATCGTACACCGTGTTATCATGCATCACTATTACAAAGACAGTATATCGAAAGCGATACAATGAAAGTAGATTAATTGTCGGTGTCATTAACGCGGTTGTAAGAAATAAAGATAGATTGGCATAATAGAGCCTCAACATATAAACATATCCCGTTTGACAACTTCTTAGAAGAAACCTATGTTGCGTCCTAGAACGATGTAATTTCATGTTTCACTTTTTAAATGGTATATCCAGAAGTTTCGTGGTAAATAGGGTTGGGCAAATACGTATTTAAAAGTATTTAAAAGTATTTGAAATACAGTATTTAAATTTAAATTACGCCTCTTACCGCCGATTTATATTAAGTAACTAATTACAAAGTTAAAGATACTTAACCATTTACTATTTAAATACTGTATTTAAATAAGATATATATTTAAATATATATCTTAGATATTTTCAAATACATATTTGCCCAACCCTGGTGGTAAAATATTAAGGCTTCTTGTACCTCGTCGCGGCTATATTGAATTTGTGACGTCAGAAGCGAGAAACGACATACTGACGAAAATTGCGTGCCATTTCTAAATAAAGATAAATATGAACAAAAGAGCATTTAAGACTGTTTGAATATACTTGTAAATTGTCCAAAAGATATCCTTTTTTCATGGTAATTAATAAAAAATCATGTAATGAATGGTGAAATAAAACATGCAGACAAAATAGGCTCATTTCATCATATCATATGCTCATTTCACCATTTATTATATAACCATTTATTGATTATCATAGGATACATTTCGGACAATTTTACAAGTGTACTTAAGCAATATCGAACTCAAGTGTTCTTTAGTCTATATTTATATTTATTCGCGAAACTGTCAGAAACGAAACTTATTGTTGTAATAACTGTCGAAACTTACTCGAGAACTGTGTCCGCGAAATTTTCATTATGTTTATAGTGAGCTTTTACTATTTTTATGCGTTGCTTAAGCGAATATCGATCCATTGTTATTAACCGCATAACTTTTATTCGATAACTGTCCAATATGACAGCTCCATCTGTGATGAAAATGCAGTGAAATTTAAAATGACACCTTTTAATGGAAGATCCTGTATTTCTTTATGAGCTTGATTTTATCTTCTTATTTTTTATTATTTTTCATATAAAAATTATTATTAATACAGAACCAGATTTTGCAATATTTGGTTCTTAAAAATTTTTAATAAATTTATTAATAGGTGTGTGCTTAGTGTAATACATACACTTATTCCATGATTTCTTACAAAAGTAAAGAGTACACTAAGCCTATTTTTAAATTTATTAAAAATTTTTAACAGCTCTTTAAATTGCAAAATCCGACTTTGCACTAACATTCATTTTTACATGAAGAATAAAATAAAATTACATACTGTCCTCCAACGAACATTTCTATCCAATCAAGAATACCTAATACACGCTACCAGCGTGTAACCAGTTTTAATTATCATCTATTGAATAGATGATAACTAAAATAACGATAAAAGTAGCAGTTCAATTCGTTGCTGTTATTATAAAAATGTAACGACATTACTGTTATCAACAGGAGAAAGTAACAGTCGTTATTAAAAAAAAGATAACAGCATTACAAGTAACATATTACTTCCCAACTCTGTTAAAAACCCAAGAACCCGTCCTGAGAGGAATCACACAGTCATTTTAAATCAACATTTTAGAAGAGGTTATGAGACTGTCATACCGATCTGTGTGCAAACGAGCTTATATGTATTATTTGGAACTCACCGAAACAAGCAACGCTGCGGCACGTCTTGAAAAATATCTAGAATCGTCGTTCCACTTGGCTTCAAAAATAGACCTGAAAAATAAAGAGTGTGTGTTGGTAGATAGTTTCTCTTATCATCGCATATCATGATATTATATGTCTGTCGACGAAAACGAGCGATACAAGACTGTTCCGGTGCGGTGTTGCTGTAGAACAATAAGAGAGCAATAAGAGAGAAGCAATAAGAGAGAGAATCCATGTCTGAGCTGAGTCTACGTGCTCTCTCATGGTGAAATTTTCAAACGCATCGCGTCGTATTTCGGCCGCGTTTCCTATCGTTGCGGGAAACACGTCTACCGCTTTGGGACATGCGACGTAGAACTTATGGTAATTTCAATGCCGTCGTACGTGCAGTCACGTTATCTCCGGCGAGGAGCGAACTGAACGGATAGGTCTCGCGTTTCGCGAAAAATTCCACGCGATACGACTCGCGACTTCTCGTGCGCGTCGCCGATATCGCGAGGTGTTCGTGCCGATTTTAACGCGTGTAAGTAACTTAAATCGGGACAACCGTTTCGATTTAGGAGTTTACTTTACGACGTCAAGCGGTATATATTTCCGCGCGGTAAAATACACCGCCCCCCCCCTCCCCCCCAATGCCGAGCGCTTAAACACTTACCTCTTGATTGAATGCCAGGAACGACAGAGATCGTAAAGAAGGTTTAGTGCCAGAACAGTAACGCCGGTCTCCTTCGCTAACATCGACAGCGCGCCCAGGCAAACGCTGGACCATACGTAAGCCGTCTGCTGGCTGCGAGAGAGAAACGCATTCGAAAATTAGACCAAAAGTATCGTACAATTAATTGTCGTAGAAATAACCGTAAAATAAATTGGACGCCCCGCTTGATTTCGAGAGACCCAAATCGACAACATTACTCTTATTTTTTCAGATTTTTCTACAAATACAGCAATTACAGCCCCTCCGAGGTGGTCAATAGTTATAGCTAGACGTGAGATTAGCGCGACTCGAGCACGCGAACGTCCAACGATCGTGTCGACTACGATGTCTCGTAATTTTTCTTTATCGTTAGAAAAAAAAGAATATACGATATACAGCGCAATTTACACGATAAAAGTGACACGCGCTCATTTACGAACCTTTTCGTGTGGAATTTCTCTATAAAATAAAAACGAATAGAAAGAGAGAATTGATACAAACAAAATAAAATTGGAGGTCCTGCACGAAACTCTTTGTACGACAAATTAACCCTCAAACCGAACACATGTATCCAAGCGATTTCAATTACGTTTTCTGGAAGCCTGCGCACTTTGACTGGCGGGTCCCTAGCGGGAAAAAAGTCTGTGGTGAGGAAGCTTATAGATATTGCTGCCAACTCCCGTTCAACATATTTTGTTAGATAGCCAGTCCCATTCTACTACATACCACCAGATATTAGAAACTTCGTAGTACAACTCACTTGGTGAGTTAACACACACACACACACACACACACACACACACACACACACACACACACACACACACACACACACACACACACACACACACACACACACACACACACACACACACACACACACACACACACACACACACACACACACACACACACACACACACACACACACACACACACACACACACACACACACACACACACACACACACACACACACACACACACACACACACACACACACACACACACACACACACACACACACACACACACACACACACACACACACACACACACACACACACACACACACACACACACACACACACACACACACACACACACACACACACACACACACACACACACACACACACACACACACACACACACACACACACACACACACACACACACACACACACACACACACACACACACACACACACACACACACACACACACACACACACACACACACACACACACACACACACACACACACACACACACACACACACACACACACACACACACACACACACACACACACACACACACACACACACACTAATGTGGTTTACATTAGTTATTTTATTATCGCTATTGATTACTGATTTATTTAAGTAATATTATATGCATCGCTTGTCGGACGTTCGGTTTAGCTATTAGAGGATTTCTGGGATATCTAGGATAAAAATTAGAAATTTATATCCGTTTCTACCAATACAGTTTAAAGAGTTAATCCATAATAACATTTGGTTAACCAAAGTTTGGCAAAATATTAGTTTAAACCAACGATTTATTCAAGTTTAAATTTATGTAAACTGAGTTCATTTTAAACGACCGATTTTGGTCGTTTAAGGCTTTATAATGTCCAGTTAAAAATATAACTAGCCTATCTGATACAAAGAAAGTAACTTTTAACCTGTATTTTTCAGATATGGCAAATTTATTTAATCTTGTGCTCTCATCCTCTGATAATGAAAATAATCAAAAATCAAGAAATGTATGCATAAACTCATAATTAAAAACGTATACATTTAAAACCTTAGATATATGTAATATGTGCACTTGCAATATTCTAAGTTGCATATATGTTTTTCTTAACAATTATTTAGAGAATCGAGTATTTAAAATAATAGAATTAATTGTAGGCAATGTCATATAAAAGCGTGAAATTAAAATATTTACCTGTTTTACAACTGCATCCTTTCATTAGCAAAAAATTTTCTTGTTTTATTTTTTAAATTATCCCAACAGCTTCTTAAAACTTCAGAACTTCGACATTCACCTAAAGATCTACTATTAAATACGTGTTCTATAACTGTCCAACATTTATCGTTTAAGGTTACGTGTCAGATTTCTTATTTTCAATAACATCTTTATATTGTTGTATTAAGTTTGTTAATATTATTTTTTCTGCTTCAAAAAAACTTTGAACACGTTTGCGTGATATTTTATTTGCCATCTTTGCTTATTATATTGTTTATTATACGACACTATTATACGATATGGAGATAATAAGAGAAGATATATATATTGGCCCGTATTCTGAGTTCTCTTTTAACAATAAATGAGCTTCTAAAAGTGACTCATAGCCAATCAGAAAGTTTATAAGCCACTTTTAGAGACTCATTTATCGTTAAAAGAGAACTCAGAATACGGGCCTTTGAGATTTACATCACATGCGTTAAAACAAACGCTGAACCAATCAGTATTCGATATTCCTAAGTTTCCTACAGTTATGTCGAATAAGTTATAAGTTTAGCTAAGCGTTCTAGATGAAGTTTGTAGAAACCAATCGATATTAAACGTAATCTTAATCGAAGTTTTACTAAACTGCGGATTAAACCAAAGTTGGTAGAAACGGGCATTAATGAAACTTACTCCGTAGTTAATCGATATGCGACAATATTTTTTCATATCACGCATGTAATATTAACTTAAGAAAACATAATTCTATAACTATATAATTCTACTAGAAAATCTACTAAAAATAAATTAAATTAATAAAAAATCTGGTATCACCAAATTTTTATCTCTCCAGATACTTCTCCAATTTTATTAGATTTAGTAGAAATTCTATTGACTTGGTAATACTACACATAGACTAGAAGCCCGGTGGGATTAGAGTCCTAAATAATCAGAGAAGCGCAAACGTTACGTCCTCCATAGTCCTATGTTGGGCCCGCAGCTTCCGTTGTAAACAAAGAAGCCTGTGTGTATCTCCTGCATTTTATTGCTCTGCATTGTGCTTTGGAAATCTGTGCATGCGTACTCTTTGTCCTTTCTTTGTTGAACAACCAAATACTTTATACATTTTTATCATATTTATTTACAGAATAATCTTTTTTAAAAAAGACAAAGAATTTAGTAAATCTACAAAAATATTTAAATATATAATAATATTCTCAAGTGACACATTTAAAAGTAAATAAAAATTGTACAACTAATTGTACATACACACACACACACACACAATACGTGACAATACGACACATACGTGTCTAAGATGTCCCAAGTATGAATCAAGGATTTTTTTTTAAATAACGTTACATATTTTTTCTTTTCCATTCATAATAAGCTAACTGCAATCAGTTAAGTTAGGTTGTACATTGAATCCACTACGGTTCCAACATTCTCGGTTTCGATTGATATTACGGTCAGTCAATCAGCAAGCAAAACGCTGGTTACGCTTCTTTGATTACACAGTTCAACAAAAAAATCTGCGGCGACAAAAGCCAATATTTCTTAGTAAACTCGAGGTCGCTGAAGCCAAATTTGCTATTAAAAAATGCCCATCACGTCAGGTTCTTGAAATAAATCGAGTAATATGGGTAAAAAGCTGTCACATTTACTAATTTTTTGTTATCAAACGAAATTTTATTTTTCAATTTCATTGACGCCACTTTAAAGTGTAATTTTTCACCTGTAAAATGTATTTTTATTTTTTACTATGCGATTTTTTTTCACCGACTTATAAACGTTTTCCAAAATGTAAATAATGTCGGATCTAAATTGGCTGATTAAAACTGGAAAGTAGATAGATTTGTATGAAAATGGATATCCTAGAGTTTTCGCTGATACTGAATCTGAACTCAAAATTTCGAAATTAAAAATAGCAGATCCAATATGGCAAATCGAAATAAGAAAAGTGACTCGATTCGGATCAAAGTCTATACTCGGGGTTTTTAGGATTGCTGCTTACAAATCTGAACTCAAAATAACGAAATTCAAAATGGTAAGCTCAACGTGGTGGAATAAATTGATAAATTTTAACGGAGGAGCATAAAAGTTAGTATTTATAAAAGTATAAAATTTTACATTTTGGAAAACATTTATAACTCGGTGAAAAAAATCGCATAAAAAGATAAAAATTCGTTTTAAAAATGAAGAATAGTACTTAAGTGGTGTCAATGAAATTTAAAAATAAAATTTTGTTTGACCACAAAAAATTGGGAAATATAGCAAAAACATAGTTTTTTACCCATATTACTCGATTTATCTCAAAAACCTGACGTGATGAACATTTTTTGTTGACGGATTTGGATTTAGCGATCTCGAATTTATTAAAAAATAGTAGCTACAATCACCGCAGGAAAAAAAATCAAATTTTCAGACAGTGTTATTTAGGTGGGACTCTAGGTTAGCTTCTGTTCATTTGCTGAGCTATTTAGTGACGACAACGGACGATTCATGAGTCCAGTTGTTATTTATGAAAAGTCGAATTTTGAAAAACTGTCTTTTCTGTAAGAAGGAATATTCATTTTTCTGATAAAAATAAACATTTGAAATTTTGAAAATTGAGTAACTGAAGCCGTCATTTGCATAAGATTTTTTGCGTAAATTGTTGGTGAAAGATTATTTTTAAGCCATATCAAATATAAAATGTTTTTTTCTTGTACTTACAATGTTGATATATGTTTATATTTTATAATATATTTCATAAAAACATAAAAAAATATACGAACTATTTTCAAACAAATATAATTTATTTCAATCAAATATAATATAATTTAAATATAATTTATGGTATAATTGAAATATAATTTACTTCAAACAAATATAAATATATTTTCAAAATAAACTATTATTTAATTCAATAATTTAGACATTTAATTAACATTTCAATAAACTTCTGTGAATTTCTTCAAAATCTTCAGAGATGATATAACATTAATATTGTTTAATAAAGCACTGTTTAGCGATATTGAAGTCCGAAGTCGGCAGATGGTAGAAAACACGAAGTTCTGCAAAACTTCGTCCGAACCAGAACGAAGAAATTAGACGCGTGCAAGTCATAGCTGCGAGACAGATATAAACAAGGGCGAAACCTGACACGTCGCTTTTAAGAGTTTTTTAAGTTTTATTAACCCGCTAACTTGACTGATTGCGCCTTACTTTATTTCTCTATATTATTGCCGTGTATAGACTTATTTTTAATTACCTTATTTTCTTGCTCCGTCTACAGCACGGACGTAAAAGATCCGTAATAGTCTGGTTTACGTTGACAGAAATAGTCCGGTTTGAGGATTAAATTGTATTTATTCACACAAAGATATATTTCAAGAAATTCCCTCCGATATCCTCCTTTTCGCCGATCGAATGGCAGCATTGGTATCGAGAAACAATCCCCACCAGCAACATCGATCCAAAGACACGCAGAATTTATTCGTTTACGTCGATTCACGTACACATCAATCTACGTGACAGATCCGTTACAAGATGTCATTCGGGATTTTAGATACAACAGGGACCGGTGCGAAACCGGTCCACCGAGACAAGAGCGCAGCTTCTCCACGACTTGCCCGTAAAAACGGCAGAGGAGACAGGGGGCCGCGGCAAAATGGAAGTGTTTCATACAATTTACATCAAAGCTTACTAAGTAAGATTAATAGTAACTCGCCGCAACAACGGCGGAGAGTGAACGAGGATACACTCAACCCACCGTGGAGAAGTAAAGCGGTCGAGAGTCGAGAGAACGACGAGAGTCTTGACGGTAAGCCAAATGTATAATTGGAATTAATCATCGGCCGCTTAATCGCCGAGGGATTTAAACGCGAGGCGTAAACGATCGCGGAGCGAACGAAGCCAACCGGCAGAAGAAAGGGGATGGAGGGGGAGGAGGAGTTGAAAGGACACCGGTTAGATGAAATAAAAGAGAGAAAAAAACAAGAGGAAGAGAAGGAACAAGAGGAAGAGGCTGAGTCGGAAGAAGAAAAGCATAGAGCGAGGCGATGAAGTAAGGGTAAAGGGAAACGAAGAAGAAGGGGAGTACTCAAAGGTAGCCAAGAGTAATCAATTTCCCAGGTTCGAAGACAAGCATCTTACCTTACCCCTCCCTTTTCCAGCCATTGGCCGCCTAACGCTAGTCCTACAGACGGAGTTTTACTTTCTTGTCTTCCACAACCGCCCTTTTATGTCGTAGCACACGACCTCCGCGAAAGCTTTTTACGCTGGTAATCGGGCGGAGTTCGTCTTTACAGATTTTTCGTCGTGCCAGACTCGTGCTCGCGCGGAACGCTATGTATATGGGATTTGTTTCACCGTGCCCGAGAGTTTCCCACGATTAATTAAATTTATTCCAGAAATAGCGACCGGGTTGTATAGCCGCACGCAAGTATAAAGTGAACAATTACGAGGAAAAAGGAACTAACGTCTGTCTTCGGTGAAGAAAAACACAACTCTGGAATTGTGTTTTATATATATATATATATATATATATATATATATATATATATATATATATATATATATATATATATAT